CTCGCTCTCACAGCCCAGCCCTGAAGGACATGAGGGAGGTGTGAGCCCATTTAACACTGCCCCCCAAGGCAGCCATTGCGTCCACCTCCTTCCTGTGCTCTGAGCTCCACACCCTCACTCACTTCTCCAGTTCACCCTCCTCATCTGCTCTTGCAACTCCCTTTCAGAAGCTGTTTATGCCTAAACCCTTCCATGGTCCCCACTGTCTTCAGGGTGAATCCAGGCTCTTCCTTCTGCACTCAAGGCTGTTCATCATCCAGATGTGACCCTCCCACCTCAGCTCTCACCTCTGCTTCCCTCTGACAGATGGGTACAGTGGCCCATGAACACAAACATATCCACACACTCATACACACATACTCATTCATACACACACACACACACACACACAGACACACACACACACACACACACACAATCACCAGCACACACCGTTTTTCATTTCATAGGTTTGATGTGTAATAGTTACATTATCATTTAATCTAAAACATTCACTTCTGTTTTGATTCACACATTGACTATTGCAAAGTCTGTTGCTTTATTTCTGAAATGTACAGAATACATTTTGGAAATAAGTGTTGGTTGTATCAGTTAGGATGTATGGAGAGGAGGTGGCTCTGTTCAGATGGGCTCAGCGGGCCCTGTGAGGAGGCACAATGTGGTCCAAAACCAGGTTGTGTGTTGGGGAAGGGGCGGAGGTGCACTGGGATGTTAGGTTGGAGGAGGGGTTGGCCTCACTGAGACTGGAGAGTGTAGCTCAGCCTGATCATCAGCAGCATGGACTGCCGGGTGGAGATCCCTGGCTGTTGCTGGAGTCAGGGAAGACCTATGGACAGGCTTTGTGCAGCAGATGGTCAGTGACAGGTACGTTTGAAGCCATTAGAATGAAACACCTGAGCCGACAGTGAGGGTCTGGAGGCGGCCAGAAGGCGGCTGATGTGGTCTCCCCAAGGAGTTGTCCTGGGTCTTCATCTGAGCTAGTCTTTGGGAAGAACTGGATCACAGAAAGAGAACCGGGATTCAGATCGCTAGGATTGGTTCAGGTGTGAGGGGGAGAGAGGGGAGAATGGAGGGCCCCGCCTCTCTCCACCATGACTGCCTGCAGGAGCCAATGGGGCTGTGCCAAGGTTGCTGAACCCAATAGAAACAGGAGGCCTGGGGGATGTTACAACACTGTCAATCACCCACAGAGGCTACCAGCACTGCCCGTGGGCCTGGGTGTGTGCTGCTGTTTCTTCCTATCACTTCCTCTCTCTGACTTTCTTGTTTCTGTGAGCAGAGTCCCGGCTCTCCAGCCCTCTCCATCAAACCTTCAGAGTCCTTTCTGCCTCTTCACTGAGTCTAGTCCCTCAGACTGTACCTCCTTGTCTAATTCTGTTTCTTCCATCTCTATGCTTTGGGTAGAAGAGCATGTTGGAGACAATTCCCTAGTTATAATCTCAAGACCTGGGGACACATTTATTGAACTTCTATCTTGAGCCAATCTCTTCTCCTCTCCTTTGCCTGTTGGGCAAAATTGTGAAACCTCACCTCTGAGGGTTGTTATGAGGATCGGCAGTGCCTGAGATATGAAACGCCTCAATCTGGTGTCATTTTCTTTCTTTTTTAACATTTTTAAATAATTTCAGAGAGGAAGGGAGAGATAGAAACATCAATGATGAGAGAATCATTGACCAGGCACATGCTGTGATCCCCACACTACAGATGGAGCCCACAACCCAGGCATGTACCTTGACCAGGAATTGAACCATCACCAATTGGCTCATAGATCAATGCTCAACCACTGAGCCAAGCCGGCTGAAAATCTGGTGTCATTTTCTGACCTGGTCAAGGTATGTGTATGAGAGGCATGTGGTGGGAAGGGCTGTTTGGAAGCAGCATATGTATCCCCCAAGCCTACAAGGTAAATCAGAAGCTGTAGTGCATCCTTGGTTGAATGGCAGATGAGTGCAGACAAAAGGATGCAGGGATGGTGGGCCTCAGCCTGGATCCCAGACTCAGCCCAAGTCAGGAGGGAAGGTGGAAATTTCATCAGTGGGTTGGTCCCTAAGCACTAAAGCACTTAGGGCACCTCTGACCTGGTGATAGCCTGCTCCCATAAAACTCCACGGAAACCAGTGGTGAACCCCCAAGGTATAAGGCAGCTGTAGGGAACCATACATGTTTCACTTGCATTTATTTTTATTGAAGCAATACTCACTTAACATGCAATTAAAATGTGAAATTCACTAGAATGCAGTAAATACACAATTTCTCAATGACAACGTCTATCTTGTTTCAAGAAGGTTTTACACTCCCTCCCACCCCCCCCCAAAAAAAGAAGTAAAAATTAATAACAACACACCAAACAGTCCGTCTCCCATTTGTCCTCCTGGTCAACCCCTAACAACCCAATCTGATTTCTGTTTCTATGGGTTTCCTTCTCCTGGACATTTCGAATAAAGGGAATCACACAAAACCTGACTCCATTTTGTGTCCGGTTTCTGTCACTCAGCTGCATTATTATGACATTTTCCCAATATGTACCAGGTACCTGTCCTTTGTTCTTTATGGTTTAAAAAAATCCACCGAATGTGATAACACCTCATTTTGTTGGGATGGATGTGACCCAGCATGAAGATATATAGATGTGAATCTGAACCAGCCATGTGGATGGACCCTCACATCACAGGGTGAGAACAGAAGGGCAGTGGAGGAGAGTCAGTGAGGTCAGGGAGGGAGGGACAGCAACTCAGGTGGATGGAGGAGGACATGACCCATGTTCTCCTGCACCCAGACCTCACTTACCACGTCTACTGCCCATGGACATTCTCAACAGACAGTTTCCCCAACTATGGTCCTAACTTTCTTTAGGCACCTCCTGGGATCCTCAGATGGCCTCTAAGACTCCCCCACTCTGAACGGTGCGTTGTTGCCTCTGTGGTCACATCCTGGTTGCATCGCAGGCCATTCTGGTGTCGTTTCGAGCCTGAAATAACAGCACCCCGAGGACCACCAGGATCAAGCCAGACACGCCCATCCGGGTGAGATTCTCCACTGTGTAGTCTTGGGGATGG